ATGAAGATCCTCTAAGTTCCTCAATATGTGGAATCTGCCTAAGATTCCCAGTAGCTCCTAAACCGATGAAGATCCTCGAAGTTCTTCAATATGTGGAACCTGCCTAAGATTCCCAGTAGCTTCTAAATCGATGAAGATCCTTTAAGTTCCTCAATATGTGGAATCTGCCTAAGATTCCCAGTAGCTTCTAAATCGATGAAGATCCTTTAAGTTCCTCAATATGTGAAATCTGCCTAAGATTCCCAGTAGCTTCTAAATCGATGAAGATCCTTTAAGTTCCTCAATATGTGGAATCTGCCTAAGATTCCCAGTAGCTCCTAAATCGATGAAGATCCTTTAAGTTCCTCAATATGTGGAATCTGCCTAAGATTCCCAGTAGCTCCTAAATCGATGAAGATCCTCTAAGTTCCTCAATATGTGGAATCTGCCTAAGATTCCCACTAGCTCCTAAATCGATGAAGATCCTCTAAGTTCCTCAATATGTGGAATCTGCCTAAGATTCCCAGTAGTTCCTAAATCGATGAAGATCCTCTAAGTTCCTCAATATGTGGAATCTGCCTAAGATTCCCACTAGCTCCTAAATCGATGAAGATCCTCTAAGTTCCTCAATATGTGGAATCTACCCAAGATTCCCAGTAGTTCCCAAATAAACTAAGTGTCTCGTACTTAGTTTCCATCAAAGTCATCCAGGTCGGGGGTGACACTATTCAACGTCCCCAACAGGCAACATCGATGAAGATCCTCTAAGTTCCTCAATATGTGGAATCTGCCTAAGATTCCCAGTAGCTCCTAAATCGATGAAGATCCTTTAAGTTCCTCAATATGTGGAATCTGCCTAAGATTCCCAGTAGCTCCTAAATCGATGAAGATCCTTTAAGTTCCTCAATATGTGGAATCTGCCTAAGATTCCCAGTAGCTCCTAAATCGATGAAGATCCTTTAAGTTCTTCAATATGTGGAATCTGCCTAAGATTCCCAGTAGCTCCTAAATAAACTAAGTGTCTCGTACTTAGTTCCTCAACAAGTGGAATCTACCTAAGATCCCTGGTAGCTCCCAAATAAACTAAGTGTCTCGTACTTAGTTTCCATCAAAGTCATCCAGGTCAGGGGTGACACTATTCAACGTCCCCAACAGGCAACATCGATGAAGATCCTCTAAGTTCCTCAATATGTGGAATCTGTCTAAGATTCCCAGTAGTTCCTAAATCGATGAAGATCCTTTAAGTTCCTCAATATGTGGAATCAGCTCCTAAATCGATGAAGATCCTCTAAGTTCCTCAATATGTGGAATCTGCCTAAGATTCCCAGTAGCTCCTAAATCGATGAAGATCCTTTAAGTTCCTCAATATGTGGAATCTGCCTAAGATTCCCAGTAGCTCCTAAATCGATGAAGATCCTTTAAGTTCCTCAATATGTGGAATCTACCTAAGATTCCCAGTAGCTCCTAAATCGATGAAGATCCTTTAAGTTCCTCAATATGTGGAATCTGCCTAAGATTCCCAGTAGCTCCTAAATCGATGAAGATCCTCTAAGTTCCTCAATATGTGGAATCTGCCTAAGATTCCCAGTAGCTCCTAAATCGATGAAGATCCTTTAAGTTCCTCAATATGTGGAATCTGCCTAAGATTCCCTGTAGTTCCTAAATCGATGAAGATCCTTTAAGTTCCTCAATATGTGGAATCTGCCTAAGATTCCCAGTAGCTCCTAAATCGATGAAGATCCTCTAAGTTCCTCAATATGTGGAATCTGCCTAAGATTCCAAGTAGTTCCTAAATAAACTAAGTGTCTCGTACTTAGTTTCCATTAAGTCATCCAGGTTGAGTGAAAATATTCCAAGTTCCTCAACAGCACCTCCAAATGAGCTAAGTTTCTGGTACTTATTCTCAATCAGGCTTGAGTTATATAAACAATGTCGGGAAATGACAGAGTTTCTCAGTCCAGCTGTATTTCCTCAATCAGGCTGGAATATTCCTCAATCCAGCAGAGTCCTTCAAACAGGCTGGAGTTGTATCAACTATGTCGGGAAGTGACAGAGTTTCTCAGTCCAGCTGTATTTCTTCAGTCAGGCTGGAATATTGTATAAACTATGTCGGGAAGTGACAGAGTTTCTCAATCCAGCAAAGTTCCTCAATCAGGCTGGAATAGTATGAACTTTGTCTGGGAATGGCAAAGTTCCTCAGTTCAGCAGTATTACTTCAGTCAGGCTGGAATATTGTATAAACTATGTCGGGAAATGACAGAGTTTCTCAATCCAGCAAAGTTCCTCAATCAGGCTGGAATATTATGAACTTTGTCTGGAAATAGCAAAGTTCCTCAGTCTAGCAGTATTTCTTCAGTCAGGCTGGAATATTCCTCAATCCAGCAGAGTCCTTCGAACAGGCTGGAATTGTATCAACTGAAAATACAAGTTTCTGGCACTCCTTCTCAATCAGGCTGGAATAATGTAAACTAAGTCTTGTAATGACAAAGTTTCTCGATCCAGCAGTAATTCTTCAATCAGGCTGAAATATTCTAAAACTTTGCCTGGAAATGACAAAGTTTCTCTGTTCAGCAGTATTGCTTCAATCGGGCTGAAATATTCTAAAAACTTTGCCTGGTAATGACAAAGTTTCTCGGTTCAGCAGTATTTCATCGAACGGGCTGGAATATTCTAAACTATGCCTGGAAATGACAAAGTTTCTCGGTCCAGCAGTATTACTTCAATCAGGCTGGAGTTATCTAGACTATATCTGGAAATGACAAAGTTCCTCGATCCAGCAGTATTACTTCAATCAGGCTGGAGTTATCTAGACTATGTCTGGAAATGACAAAGTTCCTCGATCCAGCAGTATTTCTTCAAACAGGCTGGAATATTCTAAACTATGTCTGGAAATGACAAAGTTCCTCGATCCAGCAAATCTTCTAAGTTTCTCATCAATCCTCAAATGAAACACTGGCACGGGAGATGTGTTCCAATCAAAAGTTGCCTACGTGTCTGGCTTGTTGTATGCCCACTCCGTATTTATACCCCGGTTATATATGTACATGTATATCGAAACCAAGTCCAGGTCACGTGACTTCGTTTCACAAGAAAAAGTCCAAAAATCGTCATTAAAATGCAAAAAATGAATACACTCTCACTGGGGAATTGAAATACATAATATAGTTTTGCAAATCACAGTCATAATTAATGCATCAATGACAAATTAAACGAGAAATTGATGATTGAAAAGATCGTGCTCATGATCATGACGAAATGTCACAAAACTTTCAAACAGTTTAATCTAACCTTAAACACTAGATTTTGACGTGGTTAAGCCTTGAGTTACTTTATAAACTAGCTGAATAGAACCGCTAGATACTAATTAATATAAAGATACTAATTGCATTGTACAAACTAAACACTAACCTGAGTAATGTAGGTTTTTGGGTCAATTTTCTTCACGTGGTTTTGAATTTTACAACGGAAGTAACTTTCTGATGACGTAAAAGCAAGATGGCGGCCTCCATAAAAATATTCAAAAGTTTTCAAATGATTGAGAAAATGACTCAAATCTATAAAGATTGACTACTATAGATGATAAATCACTGGTGGTAAGTAAGGAATATATAAATACATCTAAGACACTGGTCTAATCTAACTGTGAAGCTACCGTATCGTCTCGACACTAACTTATCAAAAAAAAATAATTTGAAAAATTCTAAAATTTGTGACAATAGGTATAATGTACATTTTACCATATCTTAAAAATCAACCAAATGCCTCAGATATAATCCAAATGTTCTACATATACTGTCATAAGGAATCTACTCATCCTTTTTTAACAGTCACAGAATAGAATTCACATAAATTTGAAAAATTAATTACTTGTTGATTTAGTTAACTGAATTATAACTACAGTGAACCTTCCTAATGCCTCAGTTACATTTGATCTACAGCAACCGTACAGCGGCTTTAACTTCCCAAATTCAGGAGAAATATGCAGCATAAAATATAGGGATAAGTAGTATGATGCAGATTTTCTATATCAATTTTTTAAGCTACAACCACCGTATGCCCACCATAGAGCAAATGTGACTGAGGCTTTAGCGCAGTGGATCAGATTATTCCCACCCTTTGAATTGTTTCTTCGAAGATGAGGACAGTTTTTTTCATTTGTTTCACATCATCAGATGGACTTTGAGGTCATATTTTCAACAAAATTTTCTAATCTTAATAAACGTGTCACCATGATATTGTAGATAACAAATATGTACTTATTTAACTTGATTAAAGACAAATATTCAATATTAACGTTCAGTAAACCTCCAAGATATGAAAGCAATACATTACGGAGTAAATTCAATCAACAATTTGAAAGATATTTTGGAAATACTCTATCGTTGATGAATTTTCCAAAACTGTACATCTTTTCATTAATCCACCATAGATGAATATTAAGTTTGAGACTAAACACTTTATTCATTGGCTCCCTTCATCTTAAAATGTCATCTTGACCTTCAAGTGTCACTTTAAACAGACTACAGTAAAACCTGTCTAATCCAAACGCCTTGGGGACAGCCTAAAGCATTCAGATTAGGAGGTGTTCACATTTTGAGGTTTTTGCATTAGCGAGATTACGGATTCTGAATAAATGTGAACACATTCTCGGTACATATTTATAGTTCATTTGACCACATAGCTTTACGGCATTTCAGAAATTTGAAAATTCTATTCAAATTAATCTAGTAATGCTGGAAAGCTCTATTATAATCAAGACCATTCAAGTTTTTTCCCAAAGTTTTGATATCATAACAATATTTGAGCAATTTTGTATGAAATATGTGAAATTTAATGAAAAGTGTTCAAATAGACAGGTTAATTTTTCAAATATAACTGTTCACTGTTTAAATTGAGAGGTGTTCACATTTCAAGTTTTTTTAACATGGGAGTCAATGGGAGGATAAAATGGGACAGAAAAAAGTGTTCAGATTGGGAGGTGTACGGATTAGTCAGGTGTTCAGATATACAGGTTCTACTGTATTTTACATGTATTAAATAGTCAAGAAATGTCTACTGTAGTCATAGATGGTGTAGCTTATACTACAAGTTTTGATCATGCTGATGCAAATCGCCAGATGAAAACTTATGATGAGATGAGAAATGATGATGTCATCATTTGTTCTTATCCTCGCTCAGGTGAGATCTGAATAATATGACAAAGGGTCACATATTAGTCAATGTTATGCACTCGTTCATGATACTATTGCTAAGTATGAAAGCCATGTGTCAACTTTATGATCAATAATATCCCTTGAAATAAACACCCACTGCCTTGGGAAAGCTGTTTTCCCTCTTAAGAAAGGCCCATGGGCGTTTACTTTGAGTTCTTTAAAATAAATGCCCTGTGCAAAATTAATGCCCAGTGGGCTTATTTGCGACAACCTCTGGTATATCTTATACTCAACTGGGCATGTGAATATCTGGAAGGAGAGAACATTATTGGTCAACACATTCTCATACAAGTTCTCTTAAAATGTGTATGAGACAGTATGACATTATACTTTTCTTGTGATTGAAATTATGTAAATGTGTAGCCAGGATCTAAAAAATAGGTGATGCAAATGAATAGGTGAGGCAAAAATTAAACAGGTGAGGCAAACAAATAGGTGAGGCAAATGTAAATAGGTGAGCCAAATGTAAATAGGTGAGCCAAATGTAAATAGGTGAGCCAAATGTAAATAGGTGAGGCAAAGGTAAATAGGTGAGGCAAATGTAAATGTAAATGAGTGAGGCAAATGTGTACAGGTGAGGCAAATGAATAGATGAGGTTAATGAAAAGGTGTGGTAAAATTAAGTAAAGGCAGTAATACTACCATCAGAATTTATTTTCATGGTTTCAATTGAAAAATGTGGTATAACTTCTTAGTAAAAGGAGGAGGGAAAGTATCGCAACAGATTTCGGACAGTCATATGTTAGATTTTGGCTATTTTTTGAGGATTTAAACAGGTGCATATATTAGGCCAATGCATTATCTCCAGTAAAAGCACTCATAGAGATGAAAAATAATTTCGACTATGAAACAGGGGAGACGCAAACAACCCACCCACATGTTTTTGCTGAAATGTTGTCCTGATTTTCAACCCCCTTTTTCAATTTTTTTTCAATTTTTGTTGCATCAATATGTTGCGTTTTTAGGCACGGTTAACACCTTTAATTTCCCATGTTATTTTCCCATAGGGAAAACTCATGCAATCCATTGCTTTCAGCTAATTTTGGTCACCCATAATGGATATCTTTAAAACCCCATTGGTTTGTGTCAGAATATTCCTAGTACAGCTGTTATTGGTAATACAGGTACTCACTGGACCATAACCCTGGTGGATCTGGTGATGCGGGAGGGAGATACGGAGGCTGCCGATAAAATTCCAATCAACTTGAGAAGTCAGTGGATGCATATATCTCGGAAAGGTAAGCAGAGTTGTATTTGCGAGAAATGGAATGATTATCAAAGAATGGCAATAAATGCCAAATGAACATCGTGGTAAGCCACCCCCACTCCATCTCTATCCTTCTGGAGATGCAACGGAGAGAGATGCTATGAGTATCAGAATGCCAAATGAAGGAAAATCCAGATTCTTGCTAAAATTCTTCTCATCGGCTTGTAATATAATATATCGTACCATCCTTTACCAGAATACAACATATAAATATGGTGTTTTACAGAATAATGAATGGCCAATGAAAGTTCATTTTTGTTTGAAGTATGGGCAGGAGAGGTTTCTATGCCAGCAGAGGATATCCATCCAATGAGAGAAGCGGAAATGTTGCCATCACCAAGGTTACTCTGTAGTAATCTTTCTTATGATGTAATGCCAGAATCTGTCCAACAGGGCATATGCAAGGTAAAAGCTCACATGACAGGTGCTGAAGTGAATATTGCTAGAGATTAAAATATGTGTGACAGTGTCCCGTCTTGGATTTCCAAGGTATGATGTTTTCATTTTTTCATATGATTGAAAATCAAACTGGGAAACGAGTGTGACAGTGTCCTTGGGAATTCACAACTTGAATGTATAACAGGGAACCAATATGTCAGTTAAGTCATCTGTATAACAGGATACATGGAAAGTGAACTATTTTAAATGTGCATGAATCCCTATTAATTTTCACTACATATCAACAAAAAATCGATGATTTACATATGCACATGTGTAGCAGGGACGGCATGTCAGGAAACTGTCTCACCAAAATTCAAAATATACACGATTGAGAGATATGTGGCAGAATTGGAAAAGGTAAAAATGAATCGTTGTGTGTCTCATTAAAGGTCATTCTGGTCCTGAGAAACCCAAAGGCTGTATTTAATAGCAGATACAAGTTTGATGCATTGATTCCAGAGAAGTTTCGAGATGGTCAGACATTAGATGGACATCTTGATAATCAACTGACAGAGGCACAGGATAAAAGTAAGACAATATTTTGGTACACTACATGTAGGGAAATACCCAAATGGTGTTATTATGGAATGTACCACAAACCATTCGACCTTTGATCTACACTGAGGGAAATGAATTCCTAGGAATTCAGTGAATATTATATTTTGAGAATTTTAACTGGAATTTCGCAGCCATTATATTTCACAAACTTTCCAAACTCCAGAAAAGCGCAAAATGTAGTATCATGCGAAAATTACCAGGAGTACAGTATACAATATTTACCATTTGATTTGGGGTTTTAACATTTGGTAAAAATACAAGTTAATAACCATATGTTAAGAAATGTTGTGATTTATTTATCCGTAGTGTCCTATGGAACATGGTTTAACCACGTCAGTGGATGGTGGCAGAACAGAGGCAATCTGAAAGGAAACATCCACTTTATAAAGTTTGAAGGCATGATAGAGGTAATAAAGGTTGGAGATGGACAGCATGTTTTAATTACTCAGATGCGAGTAGGTAGTTACCAGTTTCGCCACCAGGTGGCTGATTCTGGGGAAATAACATGGCAGGGTATAACAAAGTTCCCTTAAACTTGAATATTCATCAGTTTTAGTGGTTCACTTTTCATATTACCCTTATGTATCTGATAGTTATACAAATTAAAATATGTCCAGTAAAGGAAAATGTTATCTGCCCAACACAAGAAAAGATATTTCACTTTTTGTGATTTTACAACATGGGGTCTATGGGGAATCTCCCCGACCTAGAAGTCACATTTTCAAAGAAAATTAAATTTTCAAAGTTGATAAACTCTTTTTAAAACCACATTTTGGATGTAATTTTACATGTAGATTCCAAATATGACATCAGTTTGAATTTTTAATGACGTAAATCAAGATTATTTCTACTCGCACCTAGTCTATTGATGAGGCATTTTGACTCAGGCTCAAAATCCTTTGTTACAAGTTTATTTTGTTAAAATCCTTTGTAACTAAGCAATTTAACTTTGCTGTTTAACAGGCACCAAAGACTGTGCTATATTTCATTAAAAAATTAGTTTAAAAAAATATGTGTTTCTTCAGACCATGGTCTTAGAATGTGGGGTTCATCCTTTACACATTGCAGGGCTTACTGATTTCAAAATAGTGCAAATAATACTAAATGCATCTGGATTAATATTTAAAACCTGGCTTTCTGTGATTCAAATTAAGAAAGCCTCTTTACACAATTGACTTGTTTTAAATTCAGAACATGACAAAAGTGGTGACAGAGCTTGCTCAGTTTCTCAACAAAGACCTGTCACATGAAACTATCAATGCAGTTACTGAATACCTGCAATATGGTAACATGAAGAAAAATCCCAAGATCGGTAGAGCATTTGAGAAACTTGCTATATATAAAGATGCGGACACTGACAGAAAGCAGACATTTCAAGCTTCACACATGCGGAAAGGTATCTTTGTTTATCTTATTATGTCTTTTGGCATCAGATTCGCTCTTATATTTGGGGTCGATATATGGATCTCATCTTTGTCCATCCATCCTTTATGGTGTTATTAAGTGCATGTTATTATATCAACTTGATGAATTTCAATTGAAATGACACTGGAAAGCAATTTACTACTACTGCACAGCTATCCTAGCTTTAGATTGGATAGTTCAGTTCATTCGTCAGGAGGATCTGAGGGTCCAGGGTTCCACCTCCGCATGGGGAGTCAAAGCACTCTATCATGCCTGTATCTGCCTTGTTAAACAATGTTGATACACAAGATTCAGATATTTATTATTTTTTGAAAAACATACATTCACTGAAAGGAGGAATGAAAGTGTCGCAACAGATTTCAGACAGTCATATGTTGGATTTTGGCATATGACTGCCAGAAATCTGTTGTGATACTTTCCCTCCTCCTTTGAGACTTGACACCCATCTCCCCACAAAGTGTACCACTTTGAATGCTTTACTGATATATTTCTCTCCTTTTTACAGGTGCCATTGACGACTGGAAAAATAATCTGACTGTTGCCCAAAGTGAGAGAATTGATGAGTATCTCGGTCCGAGATTAGAGAAAATTGGTTTGAAATTCAAATATGAATAGACATAAAATATTGGACAAGAATATTGAGTTTAAAATAATGAACAAATATTTCAAGAATTTCATTCATTCATTTGAGGTGAAGATCTGTACATGTTTCAAATTTGACATTCCATGAAGCTCAATTTTCCATAATAGGCGAACAATTTATAAGAAGCTTTTATATTTGCAGCAAAGGTTATAGTCAACTATCAAAGTATATGTTTTTGTTTAATTTTTGGGGTATACAGTAAAACCTGTCTTAGTGTACACCTCTCTCTCGTGAAAACCCTTTCTCCGCACATACTCTACTGACTTCTGTAAAAACTACCCTTTCTGTAGATAACACAAAAACAAATGTTCAGTATACACGTTTAACAGGTTTTACTGTATAAGGATCGCAGTTATTAAAAGCCGATTCATTTTAAATATGTACTTTATAAAACTTTCCCAACCCAGGAGTTATCACACAAGTATGATATAGTTTACTTCTTGCTTTTATTTCCAATACAATTTCCCATAAATTCTATATTCAGGAAGCGTAAATACAATTTACACGTCATTCCTTTTACTCTGATTAATGATGACAAATAAAAGAAGCATTAGTTCACAACTGCCATACATAGTTGCATTTTCTGTAAACTACAGACTCAAATATGAAATTATTACCAAACTCAAATATTTCCATACAAATGAGTATGTTAACATGATAAATATTGTAAAATAATTGTGTTGAATATGTCCCACATATTTCTTCAATTATATTTTTAATATATTATTCAGTGTCCATATGCAGTAAAACCTATATTGTCAGATACCACTGTGACAATGGTTTTCAAGTGTACAACACAGGTTTTACTGTAGTGCTACATTCTACGAAACTCAATTCTGAGTGCAGTCAGAGTTCAACATTGCCTAAAGTTAGTGTCTTTATCAAAAATTTAACCGACAGCTGAAGCTATAACTTCAGAAGCATGTGGATCTGTGCTCCTAACTGTAATTTGCATTGTAACTCCGTCACCCATTGCTAGTTTTGCGCGTGCCAAGATGTCGTGTCCTCCACGGTACACCCCAGCAAGGTAGAGTGTATGAGAACTCTTACCCTCGGGAACTTTATCTGACCTTTCACACGGCTGCATGCCCAGGTAATCTTTGATATTTTTAATGGCCTCTGAAATGAGAATATAGAGACATTGAAAACTACCCTGTGTGTCAGAGTCTTGTAAATTACACTCTGATTCTGTAACCCTACAGTTTTGATGCCGATAAGATTTATTTAAACAAGACATTAACATGCAAAATATCACCACCTACCATTTGTGGCAGATACCGACTGCAAAACAACAGCCTTCAAGTCAGCATTTTGATCAATGCTATTTCATAAAATTTCTCAAAAAGTATTGAAATTTTGCGCAAAGTCTTAAGATTCTTTTTCACAATATTTAGGCCTGACTATAAACTTGACTTAAGTATGGCTTATGCTATGTTCATTTGTTATTTTGATTTTTGAAAATTTTACCTTTAAGAGTACTTACCATCTAAAGATTTCATATTAGACAGAGCATATGTGTCTTCAAGCTCATTCTCTGGTCCAATCTCATCCCATGATGCACCAAAGTTTGGCTTCATGACCTTCTGAACATGATCCCCTACAGCAATCTCCAGATCTTCAAGGACGTATTCATCCTCATATCCCTCATCATCTGGTTCACCAGTGTTTGGATCGCAGTCCTTCACCACAAACTTCATTGTACATGTGAATGTGCCAGTTACTGCAATACAAATGCGTCACTAATAATAAATTCAAATTGGGTATATTTGGTGACAGGTCATCAATTTGAACTTCATAAAACTCTATAATATCTCATTAACAGATCTACCCAAAAAGGATTTTAAATTTTCAGATTAACTCATCAAATTAAATAGCTGCGAATATCCACAAATGATTAAAAATTGAACAAGTTAAAGTAACAGTTTTATTCTAATTTCAATCTCTTGCTTTTTGTCTATACAATTTTGCATGAGAGATAGTGCCAAGTTTATACATTTTGATGATATACACATGCAGTAAAGAAGAGAACATCAAAATATGCTTTCCCAGTTTTTAAATTTAATTTTTATTAGATATACCATCAACTCATATTTTGTCAGAATCTCTAAATGTGAACATGTTTCAAAATGAAGATTTCTAGCTGGCCATGTTAGTAATCACTTTAAACATCTTTTACTGTATATATTCATGAATCTCCTGTATATTTAAAAGAGAAACATGGCCAAGCGCTTGATTTGCAAACATGCAATGAATTGAGTGACACCCAATTATAAAACTTCTTAACTTTACCTTGTGAAGGTTCTTCAGGCAATTGCAACAGCGTGTATGTAGTACTAGTCACATTGTAGGCAAGCTTAGGAGTGGGGATGTACTTCAGCACCTCAAAACCATCATTCGTCTCAACTTGAACAGTAACATCTTCTAGGAATTGATCATTCAGTGTGTTTGTGCAGTCAAACTGAAAATGAAGATGATATTTCTTAATATTATACATTGGGAGTAACATATGAGCCAGGCCACAGGAAAAGGGGTCTTATCACAGATTTTTTCAATATATACAAAGAGACCTTTCAAATGAGCCATGGCTTGTGTCTTAACAATTTTTCCTTGCATACATAAACCAATAAGTCGGATTTGAATTTAGCATATTTTTCTCTTAATCTTGGGCACATTTTTGGCTCTGTAGCACAATTTCAATTTTGAAAACAAATAAGCATGAATTCAGAGTGAATGTGGCCTTCAATCTAACTTCAAACTACATGTTAACTCTGAAAATCTGAAGTACCTGTAGAACAATGTGGTTAGCAAAGGTGTGCTTAATACATTGAACGGCATATTCTGTCTCAGCTTCAGTAAGCTCAACGGGTAAGCTCGATGATTTGAACAGCGGACCAATGGAGGCAAATTCAGGTATACTTGAAAGCTGTTCAGCGTAGACATCTTGTCTCGATGCTGCCACCTTTTCTGAAGACTTGGCACCAGAGATTTCTCCAGGAGCTGCAAAATAAATAAACAAGTTTTATTACAACTGTTACCCTCTCTTTAAGTGTATGATGTAGATAATCATTAGATTCAAAATTGTATCTTTTAAGAACTGTATCGATATCTGACAAGAACACATGAAATTAATAGCGAAGTATCTACATGTGAAAGTTATGTCCACCAATTTTAATAACAGTTTGTATGTTTTCAAGTCTCATTAGACAATGTTTATGGCGTCACATTGACTTTTACATGTCCAATATATCATCCACACTCAATTTACTCAACCTACCTAAAATTAGTAAATAAAACAAAAACAGACCAGACTATTTAGTCTTCCATCAAGCCCCCATGTCTTGCCCCTTCATAGATATACTAAGGTGAAGGGGAAACAAGACTATCAATCATATCTTAGTTGAAAAAGAGTAGGAGGCTTGATACAAGACTACCTTTGATTTAGTTACACAGAAACTACAATTTTCCCAGACCACCATATTACCATTACCGCTTTGTCCAAAATTCCTATAATTATGATTACGGAATATACAAGTATAATTATCTTTTAGTCATTACAAATAAAAACCCTAAGTTTAGTATTGGCCTCCCATACCCACAACATATAGCTGTACATTTAGTAGTCATGCAACTTTCTCTAGGTTATCCTCATTTATAATAGTCATTTTAAAGTAGATTAACATATAACATATTTCCAACTTTTCTCTGGTTAATCTTAACCCAATACTCATGAGATATCAAAAAATAAAAGCAGCTCAGAAAGAAGAATACAATCATAAAACCTCTCAATGTAAATTTTTTCAGTCCCAATTTTTTTTTGCTTTCTTATTCATATTATCTGAGTGTTGTGTTGTGAACATTTAAGATGTGAATACTTTAAGCTATAGATGTAATAGGTAGCACGTAGATCTATCCTTTGGCTGATTTTTTGATATCCCATTAGTATTTACAAAATATTAGTTGAAAGTGTAGGCTTAGCTTGTGATTAAAATGCCATAATATTTCATCTTGTTTTGAAACTTCAATGTGGAACTAATAAACCAGTCCTCTTACTTTAATATTATAAGCAATTCATTATTCCACGTGTAACTAAAAATACCTAGATTTCCAGTCAAAACCTCTATGCTATTTTACACATATTCTGTACTACAGTGTACAACTAGTATTGTTTTACCTACTAAAGCAAAACACATTAGAATGTCATGAAGCCTTGCCAAAGTCATTATACAATACCAGCATATATATCAAGGCAGATGAAACAGCCCTACATTTAACTAATTTTCTCAAATATGAGAGTAACTCCTTCATTAGTGACACACCAAAGGATATGATGAAACAATGTTACTGTTAAAGTGCTGGGTGCAGTATGTACAATGAATATGGTATCCAGGTGATTTTGTGTGAAAATCAAACCATTGATTTTATAAGATACCTACCAACTTCACGCTTAACTGCAATTTCCACAAAAATAAATTCATTAAAGTTATACAAACAGTTATAAACACAGCAGAGTTTCTTTTAATATCAGAAATAAATGTAGCTTATGGTATGGTATGAAATAAATCATAAAATTTTGAAAACTTGACTCACCAGATGCTTTCTGTTCAGTGAGAGGTTGCGTAGCGAGTGGCACACTCTTCATGTCAAAAGATGTCTCTGATGGTTCCTGATAGTAGCTATGTAGCGCCCTCTCAAGACCAACAATGGAAACTTGTAGACCTGAAAAAGCATTGTCAATAAATAATAATAGTTCTGTTTTGATTCAATAAAAAGGTCCAAATCAAAAATGAAAACCTGTAGTAGAATTTGTGTATTAGTTCAGAATAGGTAAATAAATATAAAATATCTTACCATTGAGTATGAACGCAGAATTCAGAGCCATCTGATGTTCTTTAAGAATATTCAAATAAAGTGTGGCCCGATCCCTAACTTCATCATCCATATCTAACTCAGAACGTTCAAGCAGCACAATAATACTCGGAAGGAGATTCTGACAATGTGCACCAAACTTAGCGAGTGCCGTCACGGCGGCAGCTCTAACAGCCGCATTCTCTAGGATCACACGATTGTAGATGAAGCGGATGTATTTGGCAGGGTTGAGGGTTCGGGGTCCCTCACGTCCAAGGAGATGCAAGATTCGGGTGGCCAGAACTGTGTGCTCGCAGTCCTCAATGAATTCACATAGATGAGCCAGACCTATAAAATAAAAGAACATTTACTTTTAAAATTCAACGTACACTGTATACCCTGTATACAGTTACTTGCTGATAACTAGGCTATAGCATCGAAAACTCCAGAACAAGTTTTATTGAAAAATAGTAGAAAAATTAAATTCAAGTTACACGCTCAAAAATGAATTAAATTGGATTTCCCTCTATTCTATTCACTGCACTAAAAACATTCTGATTCAGAGTTCCCCTTTATCCAATGCTGAGTTTTATAAAATACTCCATGAGATATTACATGCTGTGGATCCCACAAAGTACTATTGCATAAAATGGTAAGACTTCACTGCTTCCCTACCAGCTTCTTTGGCCTCAGGATTCTCTTCAACAATGGAGATGATAGTATCAACAATTGCTTTCTTGTAATCAAAGCCACCCTCTTCACGCAGCATTGACGAGAGGAAGGTCATCATGACCCCGTGTTTCCTTGGGAATTTCATGCACAGTGACCTACAAGTGAAAAGTAACTCTTGATGAAGTTTAGCTTATCGTATATATATAATAAATAAGCCTAATGTAGAAGATATTTTTATAGAGATTAGGAAAACTGCACCTGGAAAGAAATCACCTGATGTTTATTTTAAAATTTTGATGTATAATATAATATAGAGTACAACCGATTGTACTTACTTGATAGCTTCAACTACAACTATTTTGAACTCATCAGAGATCTCAGACATAAAAGAAGAGATTTGCTTCATCAGCCTATCAACACTACTTTCACTTCCTGTCTTTAACAAAGTGGTGATTGCCAATGTTGCGATGCTGCGGTTGACATCAGTGATCAAATTCTCAAGGTCAAGGTTGCAAGCTGTAACTGCAGAAGGGTGCTTCATGGCAACCTGTGGAAAAAATAAACAACATTAATATATCTGTTTTAACCCTCAATTTCCCATTAAAAATAATTCTTATTGGCTATTAATTCTCCATTTCTAATAATTTGCTTTTAGATATTGATAAGTAAGATATTTATTAGTAAGAAACAAGCATAACTGTGCAAGTATTCAATTTAAAAGAAAAAGAACAAGCCTATGAATAAGAAATCACTTGCCTTGTTCAATGTCCTAACAGCAGCAAATCTCAGAGTTGGCTTAGGGGATCCCAAAAAGAGTTGAAGAACTGACACGGCAGGGGCAAGTTCTTTTGTGCCAGTATGCTTCATGTTCACTATAGCATGGGCTGCCTCGTAAATGACCATCTCACTCTTGTGTCGAAGGCAACTCTCAATGAAGTCAAACATTGGACTGTCACTTCTAAAAACAAATGTTTAAGTTAATGCTAAGTTCCTATCCTTTTTCCTTTAGCAAAGCATAGTATGCAGTAAGACAGGCTTAAACACGCTTATAATGTGCCGTGTACATGCATTCACTCAGTCATTTCAGTTGCTAGCACTAAATTCATTTTTTCTGGTTTCTTCTTAATTTCGATGTGCTGAACTTATTTTGTTTTGTCAAATCAATTTAATCAGGATGTAACCAGGCCCATAGCCAGGGGGGTTAGTTGGGATTGAGCGAACCCCCCTGGCCAAAAAATCTTTCAAAATCATGCAGTTTTTCACCATTCTGAGCACTTTTTAAGTGATTTTGGCCATTTTTGGACCAAAATTGTCACAAGTGAACCTGAAATTTTTCAAAAATTGAGCCCCCGTTGGCGAATCCTGGCTACGGGCCTGGTTATCCACAGCTCTACTTGTTAATATCATTCCTTTATCAAATATTAGGACTTAGTCAAAAAAGTCCAGACCCTATACAAATGAACAGAGTCCTTACCCAGCATCATCCTCTTCCAGAAGCTTACATGCTATACGGATAAGCAGGCAATAAGCGTAAGGCGACTTCAGAGAATGACGTGTAAACTTGCTGACAAGTTTTGTTACAGCCAACTTGTCGTTTTTCCTTATATGGTAAAGCAGACCAAGGGCGTGGTATTGTACCATAATATCTGAGCTGCTTACTGCTTCCTGGGCCTCGTTCACCCAGCGCTTGATGACGTCATGACTCGTCTTCATCAAATGCTGTAATAATATTGTATTTGTGTCAAATAATTAATTTTCAGTGAAATATGATTGATTCAAAAACTCTGTAAATGCAAATGAGACATAATGGCATTGCAGTTACACAAGAAAATATTACGATCCCTAGAATATTTTTATGAATTTGCAAGGTTAATTTAAAAATCAGAGAAACAATGAAGTCTGAGGAGTTGATTTATCTATATGATGTACAATATCACACTAATAATGGACGTACCAATGATGAGGTCAGGGCAGCACTGGATACAGATGCATTTTTATCAACAATGGCTTGTTTCATGTATCTCTCAATGCTCTGCAGCATAGTAGTGTCTGTAATCTTTGTCAACGCACGGATGGCTGGCCCACGGAACTGGTCTTCCTTCCCGGTCATGTCCTTTGTCAAACTATATACAAACATAACATAAACATAACACACACCAAAAATTCCTGATGTGATTTTTTTCTGCAAATCACATATATAAACATAACACACACAGAAACTGACTGAATGTTATCTTACTGTAAGTCAGGCAAAAAATATTAAATCAGAAATCTAATAAATTTTCTCGCTCATCTATTCTATTTTGTAACATTCTCTAGTGCAATTTTACTCCTGTGCAAAATCGTACCTGCTGGTCACGATGATGACATCATCAGATATAGTGGCCATTTCTTTGATAACCATGTAGCACATTCTACGAAGCGTTGTCTGAAAACACATTGCATTGTATCAAATACATATTCACTTCAGAAAAACATTAATGTTTCCATTTTTATACAGACGAAGTTATTTCAGAATATCTGAAAACATTGGCTGAAAGGAATGAAAACAACAGAAAAAACTATTGGAAATGTTCATCTGGATAGTAATGATATGAATTGATAAGATTTGCTTGATTTATCCCTTTTTGAAACTTACTTGTAACATTTCGATGGACTATGTCCATCTTCATCAGGCACTGTTTTGACTACTGTTTAGCCTGATGAAGATGAACGTAACCCATAGAAACGTTGCAAGTAAGTTTCAAAATTGGATAAGTCAAGCAGATTGTAATCAATTCACAACAGAAAAAACTATCGGAAATTATAATTTTAACATTGAAACAGTTGCAAAACTCCTCCAAGTGGGTTTCTAAAAAAACTGACCAGAGAAAATTGCTTGCTGCTAACGAAACACCAATGGAGTTGTTGTACCTTTACTTCTCAATCAAGACAACTGTATAGTGAACCTGTACATGTGAAATTTTCTGTTGGATTACTTACATCTTTTGACTGGAACAATTTTGTCATGGCAAAAAATGTCTCAGTGGCTTCTGTTGTTCCAATGTGCTCTCCCTGAAAACAACAATAAAGAAAATAATTCAAATGATGTTTCAAAATCAAAATAATCGAAAACGTATGAATGAGAGTATTATGAACCATAACAATGTCTGCATTCAGTAATAATTGATGTAAAAATGAAGTTAATGCTTACAGTTAAAAACTGAATTTTTTAATGCATTAATTATTGTTGTTTATCACTATTATTACATTAAATCCATAAATTCTTTTGTAATTACTGACCTGGTTTAGGAGGTACAATATCTTGGTGAGGATGTGACAACATTTCCTTGGGTTTATAGGGGTGTCATTGAAGGTCCTTGCCTCCTGAAGAACACTGGTCTTCTCCAAGTTGAAGAATGGATTACCTCCAGCTAAAATGCAAAGATTTAACGTAGAAATATAGCAAAATATTTGAAAACAGGCCTTACATGTAAGTATATCTGAAAGGGAGGTTATTTTTATTTCCATAACAGTCTGGGAAATTGATTGAATATTGTTCATGTGCGTAATCTAGACCAGTCTTAAATTTTCCTAGTTTGTTACATTCTTTCACATCTGAATTTTTCAACAGACAATCAACAAATGCCACTTATAAGGTAATTGCTAGGTATAAACAGGCGTGATATGTTTTGATAGTTTGAGTCCAACATGGAACAATAGGAGATATGAGTTGCCATTCTTGTTATTTAGTATTCCCAGGACTATTGTAAAATTTCATTCTATTTGCATTTCAAACTGTTTAAAGGTCAGGGTGCATGTTCAGAATTTTGCTGCAACCCTCAATAGGGTCACATGTTGATCACTCCTTCATTTTTGTTGAAGTTACACTGAAACACAAACTCCATGAAACGAAATCACTAGAAAAAAACATGGTACACATCGCGCGCATGCACACTAAAGTTTAAACCAATCAGATTATTTGATTATTTTGCGCACATGAATTATTTGCATCTGAGCACTTTACTTACCATAAAAGCTAACCACAATAAACAAACCTGGTGGAGATTACCCTTACTTCATTTTAGTGAAATTTCAGCTCAAACTTGTGACAAATGTTTATGCATACGCTGGTATGAAGCCTTGGAGACACCATGGGCTTTCAACTCTAAATTGAAAGCCCATGGAGACACTCAGTTTGGTAAATATGATTTACGGTGTATACTTTTCTGCAGTTTATGGGAGTTTGGGACATTAAATGTTAAAATTCAACAAAACATGCTGATTATACGACTTATCAATTAATTCGTATCAGCATTGTCAGCTCAGTAGACTACAGTGCTGGTATATATTAATTGATTAGTCGTTTTATTGCCATATTTTCTTGAATTTGAACATTTAATGTCCCAAACTCACACAAACTGCAGAAAAGTATACACCATAAATCATATATACCAAAATGAGTGTCTCCAAGGCTTCACACCAGCGTATGCATAGTTCATTTGTCACGAGTTTGAGCTGAAATTTCGCCAAAATGAAGTAGGCTCAGGGTAGTCTCTGCCAGGTTTGTTTATTGTGGTAAGCTTGTAAGTGCTCAGAAGCAAATAATTCATGTGCGCAAAATAATCAAATAATCTGATTGGTTAAAACTTTGCTGCACATGCGCACAATGTATGCCATGTTTTTTCTAGTGATTTCGTTTCGTTTCATGGAGTTTGCGTTTCAGTGTAACTTCCGCAAAAATGGCGGACCATGAACAGAATTAACAGGTAAAATCACTTCGTAATTTCAAGAGAACTTTTTACCTATAATAGCAAAACTTTTGTTTTATTTGTGCATTCTATCTATCAGATAAGAGTCTCAGGGGTATTTAGGCAAATTTATTTTGGTAGGAGCACTCTGTTTAGTTTGAAAACGCACCCTTAATTATTATATATCAGCACTGTAGAGTAATGAGACTGAGAGATCTAAATCTCTGACACAAAACAAGAAAACAGCGATCGGGATTTACAAAGACTGAATTCAGAGATCTAAGACTGTTTGGACTTTTTTGGAGATCCAACTTCTGGAGTAGAATTTTTAGAAAAAAAGGAAAGATACAGTTGGGGACATAAATAAATGAGAGGTGGATTTGCTGAAGTGAGGATTTCCCATGTTAAAAATAAGAGAATTTACAAGAGGCCATACATCAGTGGATGAGATTATACAAAATGTAAAATATACAAATTTTAAGGGATGTGAATCTAGACAATATTGGAAATTATGGGCTTTCAGACCACCATAATTAGGAAATGGTGATCGAAAATCGACCTGTCATTTATTTTTGTCCCCAACTGTAAAAATTCGTTGAAAAATGCTCTCAAAATGATTTTCAACTTCAGCTTCAACCTTATGAATCGACGAGATCTGACATTTGACCATGATGATCTTGTCATGATTGTAAGTGAGGATTATCATAGAATACTCACCCTCTTCTTCCTCTTTCTTATCCCTCTTCAACATGTTATATCAATGAAAATATGAATATTCTATAAAATACGTCCCGGGTTCCACGTCACTTTGGTTGTGTGCGCAAGTTTTTGCGCATCTGGAAACGGAAATCGGAACACGGAAGTTCCGGTCACGAAAAAGGCGAACGAGTGTTAGATTTGGTTTGAATTTATACTTGTTTGATTTAATAAAATATCCACTATACTCCCACACGCTCGGCACCAAAGCTTTATATGTCATCACAGACAGTTGATATTTACACTTTCAATATTAACAATTTGACCGCAAGAATGAAGGAGCATTGAAGATTACGGGAGCACAACCCGGCGGGGCACAATCATTCCAAAGAAAAACCCTGTGTCCCAAACATTCTCAAAATTCATTTCGTTCGTTGCGTACCTTCACTACAAAGGCTCGGAGATTGTGTCCCAAACTCTCATAAACTCCCAAACTACGATCACTATTCATAATTGGCAGAAGTAGTAACAAGCAAGTGTGCGATCAGTAAAGGGGCAACAAAATTAAACAGTTAATACACATTTAGAGTGAATAATCGTGGTCATATCATTGGGTTTTCAAAAGCCCATGGTCATATCCAGGAGGAGAAAGTAAAATGTTGAGTCTATGATACTGTCGTTGATGAAATTTAAAATTGTGTTTGGACTGTACACATTTTTCTTGTTCACGATAATGAGGAAAACTTTTTGATTTTATCACTGTTCTTCCCAACTTACCATGAAAAGAAAATGTGGCATTCTTGCGTTTTTAAGAGAAAAACGATTTGATTGCAGACAGTTAAAAAAGGTAGCATCTGGCTCATTAAAAATGCCTTTTCTGTCCTTATTTATTTAAATTTCGTTCTTTTATCGAAAAAACTGTATACCTTCTCATGTTGTGAACTGATAACTGTCAGCAAACCTTACAAACAATCACTGGTGATCCACTCGATTACGCTGGTTACCGAAACGGTTCGTTTTGGCATGGGCATTCAACTAGTTGAATGCCCATGGTTTTGGTAACAAAATGTCGGAACATCGAAGGTACGATTTTTCTTTTTCCTTATTTCATAGGTTACAGGCAGAATTCCCACGACATTTTTAACACAAACGTGTATTAGTATCATATGTTTAAGAAAATGTACATATTTGTGAACAAATAGTTCAGAAGACAACAGAATCGTCGATTTAATTCCTCACTTAAGTTACATAAACGGTTTTCGAAAAACGATTAAGATCTGCACTTTTAACCCAAACCGTTTATGTAACTTAAGTGAGGCATTAAATCGACGATTCGCTGTTGTGTTTTAAAACATATGATGCTAATACACGTTTGTGAGAACAAACGTCGTGGGGATTCTGGCCTACAACGCGTGAAATAAGGAAAAAAGAAAAATCGTACCTTCGACGTTCCGACATTTTGTTACCAAAACGAACCGTTTCGGTAACCAGCGTAATCGCGAGCAGATCACCAGTGAACAATGTCACATCTCTTCAAAGTTCAAACACCAATGTTAAAAATTATGAAAGATATCAAGATTTATAGAAAAATGCATTAATTTGTTTGTGCCAATCAGGATGACTAAGGAATGCAATAATAAACACAAATATGACAAAGACAAAAATATCGTACTTCCTTACTAAGTTCCAACTTTGGTAAAAAAAACTTCAATTAATTTCTTCATAAGCTAAAGAACCGTTTTCATGGTTTTAACAACCCCCGATGACAACCATGATAGACAATCGCTTTTCAAAAAATATATACTGAATGATATAATCATTATCACTGAAAGTCGCAATTTTAACTAATCAAAGGGGCAAATTCCCATCATATTTATCAATCATGATCTTACATGTATGTTAGAACCATTTTAATTGCACTTTCTTGGTTTTAAAGATGATTACAGGAGACAGTGATTTTGTTTGGATGATTTGATAGCTGAATTGGTCATTATCAAATGCATGGTCTCATAATAGCAAAGCCAATTGCCATCTTGTGGAAAAAGACTTTCTTGGATTTCCCTAAGATCTAAATTTTTCTAATAGTGAATGTGGAAAACTACAACATAAGTGGAAATGTCATATAGATGTCACCCCTTTATTATGTCTCTGATTTTATAAGCCAACTTCCTTTCCCTGCACTTCTTTTGTACCCCAGTTGCATTCCAGTTGCATCGTCCAACTGTTTTAAGTCATCGATGACTAAATATAAGCTCAAAATGGGCAAGCAAAGCAAATGATAAATACAAACAACAACATAGACTGCACAATCAAGCCCATGGCACAATCAAGTTTTAGTGCTGAAACAACCAAAGGTCCAGGACTGGAGTGTACTCAGACAGGACCCCGGGTACAGGACAATATAACTATGTGTATAATAATGGTGTACATATCGAAAAATGTACATTAAATGCCATGCTTATAGTTTCCCAAAAGGAATTGTGTTGAACAATCAGCAATATGTAAAGTCCAGAACAATCCGAGGATGGAGAAGAACAATGATCCGAGTACTTCGGAACAATCAGTAACTATTGCCCACGGCAATGACAGCCAACTTGAGTATCTTAGAGTATCGTAAATTCATATAATTGATTACAAAAATAAATTTCTCAAACATTATTCTGAACGAGAACGGAACGCTGTTTTTGTTTTGATTGTTTGCTCTTCATTCTTAGCGCACCTGCAGTCAATCAAGAGAACTGAAGGAATGACGTCATCAAAAGGGGCGGAGCACGGGTTGTTGATACATGGTTTGAATTTGGAAAATACCTTCTCTCGGAAAAACTTTGAAAAAGTAGCATAAATTCTCGAAAGTGGTGGACTAAACTTACCAAATACATCAATTAACAACGTATCTATTACTGTGTCGTATTTTGACGCTCGGGTATAGTATTTCTACTGAGTAAATAGAGCTGATTTTGACAACAATTTTGTTCAAACAAACTCGCATTCAAAACCAATATGGAGGATTGTAAACTCGGAGCAACGTACTTAGATAAGAACTGATAAAAGGATTTTACGAAAGTTTTAACAGATCAGGGGAATATTTAAGAAGATTCTTAAAGTGTTATATCCTGTGCTTTAGTTAGGATGGCGGAATCTCCACTCAAGGTGAGTTTTTGTACATTATTTTGGTTCTAGAAAACTTTTAGAAAAATTCAAAACTAAAAATCAAGTGAAAAGCCATGTGCAAGAATTTGACATTGATGCCTTCAATTGCTACATTTACGGATTCTTAGGTTTCAAATTAATTGACTTTTGGTATTTATAATTGTGAAGTTGTGATATTACAAACTATTCTTGACATCCTATTCTCGAGTATGATCTCGATAAATCTGCACGCGGAATGAATGGATCGAGCACGTAGCCACTAGCCTCGGTCACTCGGTGGGTGTAAACAATTGTGCATATTGTAGATTATTTCAAACCCCAAGAGCAGTATCAAAACTTAAAGATATCACACGATATTCTGTTACATGGAAGAATTGTTGTGGCATCAGTCGAAACTGTTATCCTGACCTATAGTTCGTACTAAAGACCATCACCAACAATTCAATTTTCTTTCCAAATCACGATTAAGTTTCAAATACAAGACATATGCTTGAATCATAGTTTCAGATCTTGTCTTGCATCGATGACCACGTGTTTCCTTATCTTCATCATATATGAACATAAAGATGCTGAATAAAGAAATAGAGTGCAGGAAGAACCAAGCATTGAGACAAGGAGATATTCAGTATCTCAAAACCATTCTGAAAAAGTACTGTACGAGCTGTATGAGCCTGTGATAACTCAAGACGCTCAATGTCCAAGTATATCAATTTTATGGTGTTTTGTCACCTGGTTTCATAGTGCCAGACAGTCACATACTTGGAAATTTCTAAGTACTATTTCACGAGAAAAGTACTTAAGTTTGAAAAAGAAAGTACAACATAATCTAAACAAACTTTCAACTGTATTTATAGTATTTATATAAAGGAAGCTTAGTAACCTAAACCAGCAGCCATTTTTAAAACCCTACCATAAGTTGATGGTGATACATACACTGTTTTTCATTAAATATTCGTATTGAGCTGCAGACAAATTGTATCAACTTAAAATCCACCTGCCGATTTTTTACTGCAGATCAAACTCACGTCTCTGTACTTCTCAATACTCTTTGAATTCCATCACCTGGTTTATAGGCGAACAGTTGGAACTTTTAAATCAATTAATCACAACACATTCAAACAAAGGTCTGATTTGGAAATGTTATAGTGACCTAACGCCAGAATTATTTGAAAATGACAGTTGGCCTGGCCAGGGGAAGATATGAACTAATTAATAACAACCTGATATGGTCTCCATGGTAATTAACATGCAAATTACTGTTGGTCTCTATAGTAACAAAATAACTGACCAGATTTGAATTCATTTTCAAATAATCAACCTTAGTTCTTGAAACATGTGCTTCTTACTAATAACAACCAATTTGATAAATAAAAAACATTAATTTGTGGTTTATGAGTATTGAATACCCATTTCATTAATATGATTCCAAGTTTTCAGTTGAAAGATAATAGGCTTGTTTGAATGCATATGCATGGCAGATGTTTCTCGGATCTTTAGATAGTTGGGTAAACATAGAGCTTTTCACCTAATTCAGATAAAGCTCTAAAAATACATGGAAATTCCTTTGCTCTTTAATCTCTTTGCCCAATTTTGAAATATTATACTGGTCAAGCTGATTTTATACCATTTGTCTCAACATTTTTAACAAACAACCAATTTTAGGCATTTTATAATCATTTTACATATTTGAGAAATCTATTTTGATGTAATTTCAAAATAAAATTGTAAGTTTCAATCTTTTGCTATATTTTTTATTCTAAAACATGATATTTTATTTCCATGTGCTCTTAAGTGGAACTTATATAAAATTGAACAAGTATGGACTTTGTAGTTATATACCCATCCAGAATTAAGACCCATCATTGTACAAAAACTCATTAAAATTCAAACTAGAGATGATCTATTTGAAAAACAATGGTATAAAACTAATTCGTCCATCAAAAGTTGAATAATACATCTGCCTCTATGCAACAGCTTTTTATTATGCTGTTTGATTGCAGCGTTTTTTTTCTTGTTTTTA